TTTCTAAAGCTCTTTGTGCTAAAATAATATCATAATCTTGAGTAGTAGTTAGGTTTCTATTCAAATAAGGTTTACTCAAATAAAACAAACAATTTGAGTAAAAATAAAACGAATTAAACGAATTAAACGAATATAATAAAAAATCAAAATCACATGTCATTCTGAAATATTTAAATTACTTTCATTATATTTTCCAAATTTTCCGTATAGGTTTACTAACATCTACAAATTCAAAACTTGAACGAAATTTATCAACTATCTTTGACTATATGACATCATCCACACACTGTTTTAGTCCTTGATTATTGCACTCTTCAAGAACAAAAATGTGGCTTAATGTTCTGAAAACAAAACGGAATAAGATATAAAAGAGCTCTCTAACTTAAAACACTAATGATACAAATAATTCTTCCTCGGATCGTTCAATCGAATAATTTTGAGATTTACGCAATCTACTGATTTGGAAAGAAAGACAGTTAAAAAAATAACTGCAATCATAAAGCAATTTTATCATTAGTTATAGTTACCGTTACTGATTTATCAATATTATGAGGAAGTGATTTTTTTTCAAATCCTAATGTATCGTCATCATTAGCAGACTGATAAGGAGGAGTGTATAGTGAACCAAATATTTCTAATAAGTTCTATGAAAAGGTTAAAATTTGTAATATATATTTTAGTTGAAGCACCTACGGTAGCGAAAAAGAAATCAGTAAACTATTGCAACATTATGGTATTATTTTTTTTTTTGATCTATTGATATTTAGTTGGTCGTCGCAGCGCAAATTTCAAAGACAGATTTATTTTGTTTTTTTTTACCGCCTTATTAAATTTTGTAACTCTTCAACATCAACATTTCTAAGTTCTCATATTCTTCTAGTGCTGCTTTAACTGAGAGTAGTCAAAATTAAGATATGTAATTTTTCTAATGAGGGAGCTCGGCTCATTGCAACATATACTTGTCTCTCACCAAATATGTTCTCGTCGACATTCAACGTCACGTGCGGTAGGGGTTAACCCTTGCGTCTTGTCATATCAAGGCAAAGGCGTTTTGGAGGGGAACTGTTTTCTCAATGCTCTCTTATCATCGATTTCGAAATAGCAAGGATGAAGACGAAGAAAAAGGTGACGATTTTTCACTTTTATTGGTTTTATTATCAAAGCTGTTGCTATTATTCTCTTCCTTTTCGGTCACAACATTTTACTCCGCATCTTTCGAAGTAAGGTGGATTGTTGCTGGTGCTAATTCTGAGTTTCTTGATGACAGAAAAGATTGAGGTTTTGATATATTCAACAAAACTTTGTATTGGTTATTTTTATTTAAGTTACAAATAGCTCCGTCTCTATGTTTTTAATTTTTGTTATTTGGTTGTAGAGGTTCGTCTAACCTTGAAATAGTTTTTTCTCCATTTCCCGCGTGTAATAATGTATGACGAAACTTTTGACTTTAGTCATGACGAAAGTACTGACTAAAGGTAGCGTCTCACCAAGGGCCATTTTGTCTATTTGACAAAAGTAAAATTGAAAATTTTTTTTTTGTTTTATAATAAAATATATATATACTGTATATATAAGACACCCTTTAATTACATAAAATAAATAATTTGAGTAAAATTATTTTGAATTGAATCTATAATAATAATAGACTATTATAATAACAACCATAAACCATTCAAATTACAATCACTGCGCTAGCAACTTCCACCTCCTTTTTTATATCCAGTAGTAAGTTCATGAGATAATATTGCTGCTTAAGGTAAGGAGGATTAGTTTTAAATGTCAAATCCACAAAATAAATTATTTGGTAGACCTTCCTCAAATGTGTAGATCCATCAAGAAGAAAACCTAAAGGACGTTATTCTGCACAATGCAAGTACAAAAAGGTTTTAATTGTGAACAACCGCAAAAACTTTTATCACATTTGACAAATCATTGTCCTGGTTATACGTGTTGTCAAAATTAATTTGGCTTTGACTCAATTCCTAAAATTTCAAATTTCTAATCGCGTCTGATTCAATTATTTATATAATTAATTGCGCCAAAGAGTCACCTGATTGAATCAAGTGATCAACCTATTCCTACTACAT